TAATGACGTCTTTACCCTCTCGCAGCACTGCCACAGCGTGCTACGATGATTTTTGGAACGGTGTTGGCAGTACTGCCAGCGCTGACAAACAATTTTGGAACACAGCCAAAGTAAGCAAGTAGTGACGTCATTAATCTGAGTATAAAATACTCAGCTCACTTCAGACTCAGTTTCACTTGTATATAAATGGAAAGCAACTTATGTTCCAATATGCTCCTACATAGCTCCTACTCACTCCAACGCGCTTGATAGAATGAGTAGGAGCTATGGTGGGAGCATATTGGAACATATTGGAGCATGCGACGCGAACAAACCCTTTGTGTTCCGGTGTAACTGGTATCTGATAGGTTAAGGGCCACTTTCACCATTGTCGGTTTACTTAACCAGCGTATTAACTGTAATGAAATAAAAAGAGATAAAACTATTTCTATCTCTTTCTATTTCATTACGGTTACTAGGCTGGTTAAGGCCCAGTTGCATCAATATCACTTTGACTTTAAGCGAGACTTAAAACTCTATCTATCTCGTTTTAAAGCCAAAAAGAGATAGAGACAGAAAGAGTTTTAAACCTCACTTAAAATTTAGGTTTGTTCGCGTCGCACGCTCCAATATGCTCCTGTTCATTCCAACGTGCTCCAATACGTTCGCGTCACCGGAACCAATATGGCGATTAGATGTTCGCGTCACATTAGAGCATACTCTATGGATCAATTAAGAGCATGCTCTATTTGCTTCACCTCAGAAGGTGGTGCGGTTGGGACATGTTACGCACGCATGCGTAATGATTGAGAATGTGTAGTGTTGAGAGAAGTATTTCATGGTTCTTACAGATATCTTAACCTATGTTCTGTAGTCAACTTTAACGAGAGTGGCGCTCAATTTAACGATTAATCTCGGTCCATGAGGCAGAGCGACGCTTTTTTTCTGGAGGACGCTTGTCCCAACTTCTCCTAAATCCGTTCGTGTCACCGAGCGTTGGGGCACATGAATCCAACTGCTCCAACCGCCATCCTACCGGTGATCCAAGTGCTCTCTGGGTTAATTTGGAGTAAGCGACGCGAACAAACCTAAAGTAACGTTGGTGCAATCGGGCCTAAGTTAACTGAGCTTGATGAAAGTGGTCCCAAAATCATCATATCTAGGGCTTCTTTCATCAACATCGATTAATTTAATCGGTCGATTAGTCCATCGGAATTGATCAATCGCATTTGTCATTTTGTTTGACGATAGATGCGATTGGTCAATACCAATGGATTAATCGGCTTAAGGTAATTAGGTTGGTGAAAGAGGCCTCTATTCTTGTTTCTAATATTTCCTCCATTGTGCGCAGGGCCTAAAGTCTAAGTATTATTATGTCAATAGACAGTAATTTTATGTTACCATCGGCACTTGTCGGTAAAGCAATATTTCTGTATTACCAACAAAAGATGCAGTTTCAATAAGATACGAAGGCCGTGTTCCAAAATTGACTAGTACTGAAAATCTATAATATACGTAACGTAAACTGTAACATTTTTAGTAAGTGCTTTCCCCAATTGCACAAATAATATATATCTTTAAATATTTTTATGCACAAATTACGTTCTAATTGCCGTAATCGTCAATACAATCTAGACCAGTATTCATAATCGGTTCTTATTTCAAGACCGTCTTAAGTAATGTCTTAAGACTCTAATGCAACCCTCTGGCCGGTATTCATAGGCTGGTATTCATAATCGAGTCTTATTTCAAGACCATCTCAAGTAATATCTTACGACGCTAATGCAGCCTTCTGATTGGTTCATGACTTCTTAAGACCGTACTTAAGACGATCTTGAATATAAGATCTGACTATGAATACTGGTCATAGGATGGTATTCATAGTCGATTCTTATTTCAAGACCGTCTTAAGTAATGTCTTAAGACGCTAATGCAGCCCTCTGATTGGTTCGTGACTTCTTAAGACCGTACTTAAGACGGTCTTGCATATAAGATCTGACTATGAATACCGGCCATAGTCGGTTCTTAGTTTAAGACCGTCTTAAAAGTAATGTCTTAAGACGCTAATGCAGCCCTCTGATTGGTTCGTGACTTATTAAAACCATACTTAAGACGGTCTTGAATATAAGATCTGACTATGGCCGGTATTCATAATCAATTCTTATTTCAAGATTGTCTTAAGTAATGCCTTAAGACGCTAATGCAGCCCTCTGATTGGTTCATGACTTCTTAAGACCGTACTTAAGACGGTCTCGAATATAAGATCTGACTATGAATACCGGTTTCTGATTGGTTCGTGACTTCTTAAGACCGTACTTAACACGATCTTGAATATAAGATCTGACAATGGCTGCGTTCAGCAGACTCAACAGTTTTGTAACCGTTTTGTAATTCTTCGCTAAGATAGGACTATTCCTTTAAATCTAAAAGTATAATCCAATCAGCGCGACGAATCATACAGTTGCAAAACTGCTGAGTCTACTGAACGCAGTCTATGAATACCGGCCCTAGTAATACAAACGGAATTTATAAGCATACTATAGAAGTATATTTTTTCAGTAAAATTAATATTTATGATATGTTAAATTGACACATTTTGTATGTTTATCTAAAATATACGTTTTAAAACACATTTTCTTTATATTATTTTTACACTTACTCGTAAATTGTTATTTTGATGCTAATATTGAATACTGATTATATAAAAATATTTAAATATCACATAGGCCAGTATTCATAGTCGGATCTTATATTTAAGACCGTCTTAAGTACAGTCTTAAGATGTCATGAACCAATCAGAAGGCCGCATTAGCGACTTAAGACCTTACTTAAGACGGTCTTAAAATAAGAACCGACTATGAATACCGGCCATAATCACATTATATTAGGTGTTAAACTTAATTCCTATCGTTTTTTCGTCTCGAAAATCGATTTGTTTCGAAAGGAAGATGAATGAATACCTTAATCAAAGTAATTTCCTCCATTTTCTACTACTTTTTCCCATCTCTCCGGCAATAGGGCAATCCCACGACGGTAGAACTCGGTGTCTTTCGAGGCGATCCATTTGTCCACCCATTTTTGGACTTCCTTGTAACTGGAGAAGTGTGTGTCCGTAAGTGCGTGTTGCATCGATCGGAAAAGATGGTAATCCGACGGTGCCAAGCCTGGAGAGTATTTCTGGATGCGGCAGAACTTCCCATTCAAGCTCTCGAAGTATCTGCTTCACGCTTTTCGCAACATGCGGTTGAGCGTTATCATGCAACAAAATGACTTTGCGTCAATTGTTGGCTACAAATGATCTTTTTTGCATCAATTCGTCACTCACTCGGTATAATTGCGATCAGCTGTAACGGTTTCATTTGGACCCAAGAATTCATAATACAGCACACCTTCCTGGTCCCACCAAACGCACAGCAAGGTTTTATGCCCGTGAATATTCCTCTTCGGCGTTGAAGCAAATGGTTGGCCGGGGCCCACCTATGATTTTTTCCGCTTGGAATTATCAAAATAAATCCATTTTTCATCACCAGTCACGATACGCCACAAAAAACTTTTTTTCTTTATCTGGCAAGCAAAGAAGTCGCAATAGTCAAACGATTCGAAATGGCACTTTCTGACAACTCATGTGGTAGCCATCTCCCTT